TTTTTTTTTTTTTTTGCGGAACTGGGGATTGAACTCGGGCCCTTGGGCTTGCCAGGGAAGCACTTATCCTATTGAGCCATCTCCCCAGCCCCCCTGGCTTTGGGAATCTTACATGGACAAGAGCTAATAAATATGCCAGATGGTACCTGCTTGTCTGCTGAGAGTTCTAAGTTGTCACAGGAATTTCTTCAACCTGGATTTGTTGAGTTGGAACTGAAATGATTGGGAGTAGGAATGTGTGTGAGTGTAGAGGAAAAGAGACATGGGCTGTAGTACCAGCTGAGAAGCTTTACTTTTTGGGGAGCTGGCCTTATTACCATAGTCCAGATCTGTAGTCTTGAGTTCATTCTGGCAGACTGCTAGTGTGCTGACTTGGGACCGATGTGTGCTCCTCAGCTTCTGAATTGGGACGAGGCCTTTGTTTGGCATAGTGAGAAGAACACAGTGTTTTGCGTTAGATCACATTTGTTCATTTACCATTTCTGCAATTTTTGGTAAATATGGCAAGTTGGTACCCACTTGGGATCTCTGTTTCCTTACAAGGTTGAAGGCAGCTGGTATTATGCCTACCACACAGCAGACATAATAGTAAGTGTTATCTGCCAGTATGAACATGTCTCTTTGTTAACCTATTTTTGTTCATTTATTGTTACTTGATTTTCTTTGTTGCCTTTAGTGTGTTCATTGTAAACAGAATTCTGAAGGAATATCCCCTTGTTGAGATAGCAGCACCTTTGAAAAGCAGATCCCCTTTCTACTACCTTGCCACCCGCTTTGTGTCTAGTGCTGTTAGGTCTTGGACTCTAGAATGTTGGAAATTAATCATAGACATTGGGAAATACCTTGTAAGGTTGGCTTTCTTTAATTGTAAGTTTTAATAAAAGTGAAGAAGAAAAAGAAAGCTGAGTTTTTCTATTTATAGTGGGAGCTTTGGTCAAAGGCAGATAACCAAGAGTAGGGTTGAAGCTATAAATATGTCAGCTTTGCGGCAGGACTGTTCTAGGGGTTTTGGAAGGAAGAAAGGAAAAAGCGGGAGGATAAGCCTGACAGGTCTTTAGTGACTGCCTGTCTTGTAGTCCTTGGGCTGCTGTGTTGTGAGCAGGATGGAGGGTAGCTTGTGGCCTTACCTAGAGCCAAGGTCAGGTAGGTATTCCTCTGCAGTTTTCTAGCTGTGTGAACTTGGGTAGATTGCTCACCTATCAAATGGGGATGAGATTTCTTTCATCCTAATACCTTTCAGCTAAACAGCTTGGAAGAAATGAGGGGTGCATTTTCTCGTTAAATTATTCATCACTTGTGGGCATTTGTAACAAGTCTTCTAGTTACAGAAATGATAATGTGATTTTTAAAAAATTCCAGTTTGAGAGAAAGGTAATATGGTAGTATCTATCTTAGGGATCTTGGGGTGATTAATAAGACAATGTATGTTAAATGCCCATTCAAGTTAGTATTCAGTGAATTGTAGATGTTATTAACAAAAGGACATGAAAATAATTTGATTGGGAAGATTAAAAGAATTTTAAATAACGAGGTCATAGTGTTAGCAGGCTTTGAAACAGGACTACCATGAGAGAAGGGGAGATAGAAGTTTTAGTGATGCTACCAAGATCAGATAAGTATGTATATGAGAAAATGTTACCTCTTTACAGACAAAATTTTCATAGCTTTAGATAACTTTATGGCATTCATTTCAGTATGAGATGTAAATGAGAATGTGGTAATCATGTGGGCTAACTTGACTCCTGTGTCAACTTCTGTAGCTGTAAATCATGGTAAATAGAATAAACCATTAGTTAATACGTAAGTAATAAAAAAGAGAAAAGCACATGTTGGGGCAACTTAGTGAGACCTTGTCTCAAAAAAAAAAAAAAAAAGGCTTAGGATGTATGTGGCTCAGCCATACAATACTTACTTCTCTAGCTTACGTGAGGCTGTGGAGTTAGTTGTTAGCATTGAGAAAACAACAAAAGTGTGCTGCTGTATTTCATTTTTGTTGTTTTTTGTGGGTGGAGTGGAGTTGGATGGACATCTATTCAGGGACTTGTTAAAAGTGTATTATTAGTTAAGTTGTTAGCTAGGAAATTCTTTGCCTAGATTTTAAATTTCGATTTGAGTGATACGGAATTTTTAGCTCTTTTTTCTTTCTTTTCTTTTTTTTGTCCCAGGTCCAGCAAGACTATGAATCTCTGTTCCAAATGCTTTGCTGGTAAGTGCAGAAAAGGGTTTAAAAATATTTTTCTTTTGGTTTTTAAGGTTACTGAAATTACTTGACTCTCTTGATCTATGCATGGGATTCTGGTTTCTTAAGTTTGGTAAGTTTCTCTTTACCGCAGTGCTGTGTACATTTTGCTAGGGCTGTTAAAATACATTAGTTATCCCTGAGTGAATTTCACGTATATTTTTACCAAACAGACTTTCCTTGGTTTGCTGTTGTTGGTACATGACGGGATTACAAAAATGAATTTTAGTATTTATCTCTGATCTTGACTTGCATGATTGATGGTGTATGTCATGTTTGCGTGTTACTGATCCAAATATAACAGGAAGAGAGTATTTTCATTGATATCAGGAAGAGAATCACATGGAATTAGTTCTTTCTAATCATTTCCTTTCCTTGCACTCACCTAGATTGTCAGATCACTTAATCTCTTAGATTCATCACTTGTGCAATAAAGGCCTGGGGCTTGATGTTCACGAGGGGTATTTGCTAGCCCCCAAATGCTGCTGCTGTGCTTCCTTTTCCCTCTTCCTATTTCTCTAAAACTTTCTGTTTTTTTGAATTCATAACACAAAGTCTTTGCTTATTAGAATATATTTAACTTTCCTGTATTCATTTTGTCAAAGGTAAACAAACTTTAACACTATTTAAAATGTTAAGCACAGATTTTAATCAGTGAAATAACTGTTGTAGTAGAAGAGTCTGTTAGTTTAGTTTGCACAGAGGTGTTGGTGCTGGCCCTTTCAAAGGGAGACTAAAGGGGTGAAACAGAAATGGAAAAATTATAGGGAATTGGTAAAATATCTTGATCATAACAACTGTATCTGTTAGCTGGCAGCTGTTGAAGTTAGGATTCTGTTTTCCTACAGAGGATGGGAGTTAAAGATTCTTCCCTCCCTCCCTCGGATGGGGGGGATTCACAATTATAATCCATTTTTAGTATATGATCTAAGATGATGATTAGGGGCTGTCTTTGACTAGAACCAATTATGGCAGTCTTGAGTTTAAAGAGGTAGACAGTTCAAGATGGGGATGGGTCATCCTGGGGATGTAGCCTTTAGCTATTAGAAATATGAGAGAGAGAGAGATAGAGATAGAGATAGAGATAGAGAGAGAGAGAGAGAGAGAGAGAGAGAGAATGTAAGAGTGAATGAAATCATTTGTTATGTGTCTTTAGTTTTTTTTTTTTTTTTTTGTCTTTAGTTTTTAAATGCTCAGGTTGAATCATAGCCAAGAAAAGGGCCCAGAGATATTTTTGCCTCTAATGAAATAGTCTGCTAAATGGTGAATTCATCTCCCTGCCCCCAGTGACCACCACTGAAATAGTTGCAACAAATTGTATACTAAACAATAGTGTTAGTTACTATCTTAGTTACTCTTCTGTCATTGGTGGGAGAAATACCTGACACTCAAAATAAAGGAAGGAAAAGTTTATTTAGCTCACAGTTACTGGAGGTTTCAGTCCATACTCAGCTGGCTCCAAGGCAGAGCGGCACACAGCAGAAGGCAGCCTTTCATGGCCATGGCAAAGAGCAAGAGCACAGGGAGGAGTAGCAGCAGCCCAAGTAACTAACTTCTCTTTGCTCCTTACATTGAAATGCAAATTACCTGCCTCAGGGCAGGTGCAGCATCCACACCCACAGTCATCAATCAGAAGCTCCAGAAGCCACCCCAAGCTGCATGAGGCTTTGTGGGGACACCTATACACAAACCATAACACTTACTGATAGTATTATTAGAATGTGGAATACCTTAATTAGACATTTTCATATATGTAGAAGAGGAGCCAATTGGATTTGCTGACGGTTTGCTTACAACTCAAAATTTTTCTCTTTTAAGAGGATATTACTTTTACTTTCTTTTGACATCCTTACCTTGAACCCTGATGTCGCCTCTTTTAAAGATGAAATTACTTAAGTTTTTTAAACTTTCCTTCTCCCTTTTGTATTTTGCTTCTCTCAATCACATTTTTTGTAACATTTTTTTTGAAATTTGGGTATCTCTCACTCAAGGCTGAGTAGTCTGTACAGATTATTCTGTGAGCAGAAGTAGAAACACATGTAGTTTGGGTAATGAATCTCCCACCTTTGATGATAAGTGGGGAAAACAGAAATTTTTAAAGGACTAACTGAAGTCATATAGGAATGTTTCTTTTGTTCTTTTTTTTTTTTTTTTTTTTTTGTATTTTTAAGGAAAGGTCTACAGGGTGTTCAGGGGTTCACACCTAGATAAGACTCTAGTGATCTATCTGCCTGCTTATAGCCTCCCAAGAGCTGGGATTACAGGGGCACC